TAAATTTGGTCCCTCAACTTTAGTGAGTTGCACATTTTTGGTCCCTCAATAATTTTTTACATTTTTTTGATCCCTTAACTATACGAAATGCACTCCGTTAGTCTTTCTGTTAATTCGAGCCGTTAACTCGCTTATGTGGCATTTTTTATAGTTTTTTTTATGACGTGGCAAAAATAATTTTACAAAACGTTGATCTGGAATTTTTTTTTAAGCCACGTTAGTGCCAACTCACCACCAACTCATCAACCAATTTTGCCTTAATAAAAAAATAGAAAATTACAAATTTACCCATCTTCTTTTTTTTATTCATCTTCTTCCCCTCTTTCGATCATCTTCTTCCTTTCTTCTTTTTCTTTTTCTTTCTTCCTCTTCTTTCTTCCTCTTCTTCCTCTATGTCTATTGGGTTCGGTGGAACCCAGATCAGCTGGGTTTGTAATTCCCCAAAATTTCTAGAGTATTAAAGTGTGAGTTAGGGACCTAATTGTGAAGAAATACTATTAATGAACTTAATGGCAAAATTTTTTAAAGTTCAGGGACGAAAAAGAAAGGAAATTAGGATAAGGATCAGCTGATATTTTCATTCCTTTTCTTCCCAGCCATACACGTTTCTGCTCTGTCTTCTTCCCGACTCTTCTTCCCCGATAAGCCCCCAAGCCACCGACTCTCTCCCCCTTGAAAAACCCGGTGAGATCTTGATGAAATTTCTCTTCTTTTCTTGTTAAATCACGAGATTTGGGGGCTTAGAATTCTCTCCCTCAACCCAAAAAACCCGGATCTGCCTTGCTTCTTCCTCTCTTGTCCGTCGGGTTCTGCTGGGTTTGAATCCTTCGGCTTTTCGGTAAGAAGCAGCCTTGAATTCACCTTTTCAACTTTAATTTGGCTTGGGTTTACCTTGAATTGTGTTTTGGTTTTTGGATTGAGGTAGCCGTGAGTTTCCCCTGAATTTTTGCACATGCCGCCGGCCTCCACCCCAAACCCGCTAGCTCCGGCCTTGCTCATTGAATTCCGGTATGGACAGCTTCTCTAAATCCAGATTTTACCCTTTTAATTGCTGAATTTTGTCTGTCAAATTGCTGCCTTGTGTGTGTGTCCGAATTGTGCCGGAAATGGGGGGATTCCAGTAGCTTTTAGCAGCAATTAAATGTGTTTAAGCTTGATTAAGTAGGATTTAGCTTGAATTAGCTGCTGTGATTTTGGAGAAAAATCCTGTGAGATTAGCTATGGTTTTGCAAATTTGAAAGTTGAAGTTACTGTTCACGTGTACTGTTTACGGGTACTGTTCATAGGTACTGTTCACACACCGAGGGCTAATAATTAACGGGGATTTGAATGTTTAGTTTGTGATATAAGAATAAATTTGGAAATGTTCAGTTATGTGGAGATTGATAGAAATAGCACTTTGAAATTGTGGCAGTGAGGTATTAACTGTGGAATATTGTGATTAGGTTCCTGATCGTTCTGTCAATTTAGCACTGAGATCGAGCCTTTGGTTTTAAGCGAGTGAGGTAAGTAACTTATGGTAATGCCCTGGATTTAAGGTAAAGTTTTTTAAAAGCATGTTTTGACTTGTTTTTGAAGTGGTGGCAAGATTAAACCCGTTTTATACAAAAGTAAGTATGATTGATTTGAAATGAAATTTTTATGCTTTTCATTAAATTGAGCATGCCTACTTGAAATTTGATTGATTGTCCTGATGATTTGAAAGTGATTGGTAAAGAATGATTTTTTGTGAACTTCAAACTGTTTTGTCTCCGATATGGTTATGTTATTGATTGTAATCCTGCTAGTGGGGGTTAAACGCTAGCACATGTCGACATGTTATTGATAGAACCGGTTCGTTCAAGTGTAACCTGCCAGTGGGAAGTTTAATACACTGGCCATGACCTACAGTGGAGACGTCTATTTCGTTCCCGTGCCGTATCTGTTTTCGTGATTGTACTTGTTGGCATGCTACAAGTTTAATTAAGGGCACTCCATATTTTACTTATTGAGTTTATCTCATAGTTTTCCCTGTCCACCATTTCAGGTAGTATTACCCGAGACACAGGAATCAAGGGGAGTGACGAGCAAATTGGCTAGCTATTGCAATTGGGTATAGATTTCGAGTTTAGATTGTCCTTGTAGGTTAGATTCATTATTTTGAGTTTAAGTCATGTTGGACATAGATTTGTGGAATATATTATCCTTCTTGGAAGATAGATTGTACCTTGAATTTTATGGTATTAAAACAAATTCTGTGAGAATAGAGTTTGTGATTTGGATAAGTTTCGAGCCTTGTGCATTTGTGGGACCCTCTCACGAGTGCATGGCGTCTGTCGCGCCTCAAATTCGGGTTCTGAGGCGTGACAGGGTTCCACCGAACCCAGCTCGGGTTCTATGACTGGGTTCGAGTTGGGTTCCTTTGCTGGGTTCGAGTTGGGTTCTGTCGAACTTAGCTCCACTTTTTTGTTTTTTTTTTTTTGTTTTTGTTATATGTTGGTTTGCGAAGAGATTATCCAAGACATTATATGTTTGTTATATGTTCAAAATGGAAATGGAAAGAACAGAAGTAGTTGAGCAAAGAAGCAATTCTTAGTGGTTTTCATTTGTTTGGCTGGAAAATGGTATAGTTTGGGTGTTTGGATGCTGAGAAAATGCTTTGAATTTGGGTGTTTGGATGCTGAGAAAATGCTTTGAATTTGTTTGGTTGCCG